GGGGGGGGGGGGGGGGGGGGGGGGGCCCCCCCCCCCCAGATATATAGTTAAAAAAGGCACTGGTGGATGTTTACTGGAATGACATGTTTGAATATTCTGACACATGTTATTGGATATAAGATTTATTACTTTCTTGCAGAGTACTGGCTCCCCCTGGTGGGAAAAGCAATATCAACCTGTTTGGTGGTGCAGACAGCAGTAATGAAACATCTAAACCTGTGAACACATGTCAGGCTGCACGACAACAGTCTCATGTTTTTGAGAGTGCTCAAAGCAATGTGAAAGTGAACCCTTGTCAGGCTAAGCGACAGGAATCGCATGTATTTGACAAACCTGCTGGTGAGCAGGGGTCAATGCATACTTCATCCAAGGTACTGAAGGCCCCGGGTGGCGGATCTTCAATCACGTTTGGTTAACTTAGTAAACTACATCAGGACAAATTGTATATTTATTTAGTTGTATCTTAGAATTTTATCACTTTATCAGTATGTATTTACTGATTTTTAAGCTCAACCATGCTTTCAACTTGCTTTTTGACTCTTGGTAATCAACACTTAAAGTTTTGATTAAAGATTTTTCAATTTAAAAATGATATGTTAGTGTCAGTGAAATTTATGTTACTGTAAGTAAAATGCCTCTTCTTGTGGTAATTATCACAATCTTTATTTAAAAAAGCAAGTTGGAACTCTGGAGCAATCTACACCATATTTCTGTTACGTTAAATAATGTTATATATAGTATTATCTAGAGAGCAATGACTGATGTTAATGCTGGACAGTGTCTTTTAACATTTTAGTTGTTTTTCTGTACATATAAAAAGTTCAAGTGTGATCAAAGTTGTTACTCCTGAATTCTCGATTTAACAATCTTAAATTCAGATCTGAACCCGTTCATAATTTTCGCTTGTATCCCGAGTCTCGTACTCTCGTTACCAAAATAAACGGTATCCTGCGTCCCACAAAACCTATTGGGAGGGGGGACTGTTATAAACTCAAATATCGGTTTCACTAAATTGTATTTTTGACACGTACTGTCGTACTTTACCGACTACATACACAGTATCATTATACAGTACATAAGTCTGAAATAACGTTCTATTTTTATGGTTTTTTTACTTTATTAACATAACGATATACTAGATAATCTAACTAATAATTCGCTGCATAATCAGCTACATAACTTAGTAAGTTCCAACTGAATGAGTTCTTAATGAGTTCTTAATATTATAAAACGTTCATAATATTCTCACAACATTCCATTTTTCCTCAACTTTGGAATCGATCCGGCGGATAAACCTCACGACCTCGGCGCGTCACGTAAATCGGCTGTTCCGATCGTTAGTGCTGCTCTTGTGTGAATTCATCAATTGATCTGCTTCGTCACGATTAATCTGGTCAGGGAGGACGTCTCGCGTACTCTGATCGATTCTGCTCTGGTTGAGTATGTTGTCTTGAAACGTTTGTTCTTCTCGTACTCTTTCTCGCTTTTCGACGTAAGATCTCTCTCGTACAATCTTGAAATGTGACTTGTCTCGCATAAAAACTTTCCCGTCATCAAATCGGGCTGTCACGGCGTTTCCACGTATATTGATCACTTTACCAGGAATCGGGCTAAGTGGATCTGTCCGTTTGTTTTTCATGAGAATCTTGTCTCCAACAGCAATTCTGGATTTTCTCACATTTCTGCGCTTGTCGTGGTATCTTTTCGACTTCAACTTATACAAGGCATCATTTTGTCTGACTTCAAGGTGGTTATCACGTTCGGGTGTTTCTGAGATCTCTGGCAATACTCCAAGTCGCATTTTTCTCCCAAACATGAGCTCGTATGGACTTTTCCCTGTAGCAGGATGCGGTGTGGCACGGTAAGCATTTAACATTCCTTCAATGAGACAGCGATATTTTTTCCTTTCTTGTTTCGCAATTCTCTCCATCTTCACGTTTTGCATGAATTTCTTAGCTTCGCCGTTTCCTCTCGGATGTCTGGGTTTCACCGGTTTGTGAACGAATCCTCTCTCGCGAGCATATATGCACTTAATTCATGTCCGTTAAATGGAGGTCCTCGATCTGATTTCAGCTCCACTGTACCAAATGTTGAAAACCACGAATCAAGGATCGGTTTTACACACGAGAACACTGTAGATCTGCAGTAGCTTCCAACAGGATAACGGCTGTAAAGATCATATCCGACCAGGGCGTAAGTTCCATCTTTGAATGGTCCCTTGAAATCCACAGAGATTGTATGCCAAGGACCTGGTTGCAATGGTGTTGATTGAAGAGGCTCATCATAGGTGCGATCATGAGTGACTTGACAGCTTTGACAATTCTGTACAGCTTCTTTACAGAGTTTAGCAATTCCAGGAAACCAAATCTTTTCTTGAAGAAGTTTCAGCGTGCGGGTCTCTCCCGAGTGCCCAATCTTGTGTGCTTTATCGACAAATCTTCTTCGACTGCTCAAAGGCGGAATTACTTTGTCCTTACACAGGATGATTTCTCCAACAACAGATAAGTCGGACGCTACTCCGAGGAATCTTGAAACTCTTGGATCTTTTCCGTGTTTCTTCCAGAGGTTTCTTTGAATTACTTCTTTTAGGAATTGGTAATCATTGTCGTCTTTTGCCATTCTGGAAAGGTACTCGTTGTCTTCAGAGACAAAAGTTCGTAATCCTTCTAACTCGTTCACGGACTTCACCATGGGAATGTCATCATGTCTCCTCGTCAGGTGTCTTGATCCATAATACGCGATGTTCTCAGCTCCTTTCTGATATTTGACCACATAGTCTAAACCTTGAATGGCGAGAATTTGTCGCTCGATACGCAGTGGTGCTCTTGAGGTTGGATTGTTGAAGAGATGTACAAGTGGCTTGCAATCCGTAAAGATTTCAAACTTTGGCGCTCCAACCAAGTACTTATAAAGGGCGTCAGCACAAGCAAACTTGATCGCAGCTGCTTCTAACTCAGTCTGTCCGTATCTTGTGTCAACGTCAGTTAGGGCACAGATGAGGTAGATACAGATGTGAATCTTCCGTCAAATTATGTCACACCGATTAAATAAACTTTAAAATTGTATTAATTCACTATTTTATTAAATTTTGATAAAGCAGAGAAATAAAACTATGCATATTATAGAAGTATTCATGTTTTTTTTATGCCAGAGTCGTGTTTTGAGGAATTTATATCATTCGCTGTTTTGTTATTATACATGAGCATCTGAAATTCCCAGCAAGTGTATTTCACGATTTTAATACGAAGTAGATAGGGAAAAAAACAAACTTTTGCTAAATAAAATGTTATATTAACACTTTTAATAAAAAGAAATCAATAAAAGTGATCGCTTACCGTTACTCTTGAAGAATTAATTCCAAAAATAGCCGTCGGTAGCGTAGATTTTAAAAAAACAATTTTTCGTCTTTCGAACGGCGTTTTCCTATCTCTTTCCTTATTAAATTTCAGAACGACACTTGCCAGCGCTCGCCGGAAGTGAGAATTCCGTGTGACACAAAACAATCAGCAATTTGACGGAAGATTCACATCTGTATCTACCTCATCTGTGGTTAGGGCACGGTTGGCTACGTGACACATTTTCCACTGTCCGTCGCCACCTTGCTGGCATAAAATAGCACATAGTCCTCCAGGAACATTGCTCGATTTCTCTGTTTTCTTTCCCGCATCTACGTAGATTCTTTCGGGAACAAAGTAGGAAAGGGTTGTTTGCTCCGTCAAGCTGCTCTTCAAGCTATCGAAAGCTTCCTGTTCTATAGGTCCCCAATGGAAGGTTGAGGTTGACTTCGTTAACTGTCGCAGCGGTGCGGCAATCTGGGCAAAGCTGGTGATAAATCGAGACATATATCCCACCATCTGCAGAAAGCTTCTTACTCCTTCTTTTGAACTGGGCTCTACACATTCTTGCAACGCTTTCACTTTCGCCTTCGATGGTTTGATTCCTTCTCCCGTAAATCTGACACCATAGAACTCAACTCCTCCTTTCCAAATTCACATTTCTCCAATCTTAATGTTAATCCATGTTCTTGCAGACGTGTTAGGACTAGGTCGAGTGTTCTGTTGTGCTCGTTTCGATCTTTCACACCAATTAGACAGTCGTCTCGATTACTTTTTACGTGAGGAATTCCCGCTAGAATCTCATTTATTCGTCTGTCGAATTCATCTTGGCTGGTTATCCATCCCTGTGCAAGCGTTTCATGCTTCAAATTTCCCCAGGGTGTGGTCACTACTAGATATTTCTTGGAATCCTCGTCAACTTTCATTTGGTGGTAGCCATTGTTCATATCAAGATGGGAAAACACTTTGCAGTCTCCAAACGTTGCCGACAATTCGTCTACTCGTAGACCAGGTACGATGCGGGTTCTCGATGCTCCTTTGTTTGCCACTCGGAAGTCTGCAGTGATGCGAACATCATCATCTCCTTTTGGTGTGATGACAAGTGGACTGGCATATGAAATCGGTTCTCCTGGTTTAGTCCAAGTCATTATCCCTTCTTGAACAAAGTAATCCAATTTCTTCTTGGTTCTTTCTACGAGATGGGTGGTTCTTTTAAGAACCAAAAAAGTGTTACGGTACCAAAAATTGAGCATAGAGTAAACGGGGCTTAAGGGAACTGGAAAGATAACTTAGCCGCCATCTTTGAAGCCACTCATGATGGCCGCCATGTACACGTAAGGCATGTACGTATATAAAAAACCGGATGGCTAAAAACTTGAAATTCGGATAAATTTATAGTAAAAAATGGTTTATAGTTTCCTTTGCTCCATAGAGTTAGTAATGCATAACCACAGTTTGGTGAGGCAATAGCCGAGACAGACTGTAGAGTTTTGAGTAGCACTTGTACATGTTATAATACTTTTTGTCCATTTGGTGACCCAAAAACGTTGCGCTAGTGTGTACGTATTTTCAGCACGTCATAATAAGACATGTTCAGGCTGTTAAATATCTGTCAATTTAACATTTGATAGAATTTTCGAGATTTTTTATGTGAAGTCAATGGTTTCACTTAGTAAAAATGGTCCTCATGTTATTACACTTTCATAAAAAATGCCTTTTTGTTCTTTAAAATTCCCCACCGGCCCTTAGCACCTGGGAAATTACCCGCTCTTTTTTTTAATTACCCGCTCCTTTTACCCGCTCCTTTTTTAATTACCCGCTCCTTTTACCCGCTCCTTTTTTAATTACCCGCTCCTTTTACCCGCTCCTTTTTTAATTACCCGCGACCCGCTCCTTTTACCCGCGACCCGCTACCCGCTCCAATTAGATACTCCCACATATAGTATGTGTTAATAAGACTAATTATATATGTTAACACTACATAAGAGATTATACAAGAAATATAATACTTATGCCTAAATGCACCTCAGGGGTAATCTACGTAATAATATATTTAGCTATTACATGTGAGAATAGAGTAAGTCACACCAAAATGAATGTGAAAACAAAGCACAAAATTGTTTGTTTTCCTGAAAGTATATGTACCAAGGACTAAAAATGATTTTGTCGATTCAATCAAAACGTCTGCCAAAACTGATTTAATTTTCATAAAATAACTTACTTTTGCAACAGCGAAAATTTTATTCAAATTCTTGGTTGATAAACTGTACATAACAGGAGATTATTATAAAGCTCTTCTGATATAATATCTCTCTATAATAACCTAAAACTGAATATTTACTTTAAATATTCTTTAATATACTTCTTAATATATTTAATATTAATAAACATCTTAAACTTCAAAATTTTTCAAATACATGCAACGACAATTTTATACTTCATAATAACTCGAACTTATTTAATTTAAACATCATGCGTAGCGTATCAAACTCCAAAATGTAGGTTTTTATCCAACAGAAAATTAAGTGTACCGAATTTACATAGAGAACACAAGAATGTGCTTAATATTTAAGCTTTTGACTTGAAAAGAAATCCTAATCTGTACAAAAAGAATGGGAAATTTAACCCTTGACTGTCCCGGGGAGAGAGAAAAAAATATATATAGTAATATACGAACAAAGTTGAAACACATAAAAATTATTAGTTGATACATTTTTTAAAAATCTGACCCAACTAATTTCACGCATGCCCTAACCTACGCTAACATGCATATGTATACGTGTTGAGCATAGTCTGGCTAATAATAAGCAAAAAATACACAAATCGCATGCAATTTTAGTCGAAAAACTAGTAATATATCATAATGCAAATAATAAAATATATATACAAAACTTAAGGGTGTCCAATTTCCAGTCTGACTCAGTATTCATGTCCATCTTTATCGAGAGGTCACAGTTAACAATATCTGCATCATGTTCGTACTTTTAACCACAGGGGTTTCCAAACTGTATCCTCCGTGACGAGAGACATATTATACCACTTGGATTGTAGCTGAGAATTGTGCTAACAGCATTCCCAACATTGTAACATTCAGCTGGAAAGTAAACTTGATTTGAAAAGTGATCATCCGCCTGAACGATGGTCCCAGAAACTGCAGGTACAAGTTTAAGGTTACTCCACATGATGGAAGGCCATTTCACCAAAACGCTCACCCTGTGCTCAATTTTCAAGTTTTCCTTTCAAATTTTGCATGCATAATGATAAATCATTGCTGTAGCTAACGATTTGCCAAAAATTCTACATCTTTAAAAACTGTACTTGCTACGGGTTGCTTTTGAAAATATGACGGCCTTTGCGCCACGAGATTAGAATGCTTCTGATTTTCTCATCTCAAATGATCAAAGAACAAAACCGTGTTCGCGTTTTTTGACAGGTGTTGTATCTGCTTTGATATAAAGCAGAGAAGTTGACTCATCTAAATTTTGGGAGAACGGCAGAACAGATGCCTATAACTTGAAAAGTATGGCACTAAATAAAAAACGCGAACACGGTTTTGCTCCTGAACTATTGTTCAACATTGTGGCAAAGTTTGGAGGGAATCGGATAAAACGTGCGCGTTTCTAAACTATTTCTGTGGGGACAATCTGAGAATATTTCAATCTCCGTAAAAGACGATATTAGATTTGGCGGGGGTTATCCGCTCTCTGTTATCACCTCGAACTGTAATCGGATTAAAATTAGTAAAGTGTGTTTTGGCAAGGGTTTTAGGTGTCATTCACTCATTATCACAAACCGTACATGCGAGAAACCACACAAAAAAACTTGCTAATATGCCGGCGAAATGCAAATGTAAAAAGGGGATAGCTATACACACCGATCTAAATTGGCCAAACGAAAATGCAGTAGAGGATCTGTCGTGCACCACGAAGACACCAGCGAGGTTGAAGGTCACACATCCAGTATCAAGTATCACATCAAGCCACATATTGTCAATTACAATTACAACTTTCGTGGCAAAAGAATAAGTGGTTATAACATTTTTTGTTATATTTCGGACGCATTTTAATATTTTTGAAAAAAACTTGCGGCAATCGAGAGATTTCCAGCCCCTGAATACGAATCAATAAAAATGAAAAAAATGATGAAATCAGTGTTTTCATCATTTTGTAGGAACATAGATGAGGTGTAACGCAACATTCATATTCAGCGTGGTAAAGAATATGTTCTTGAGCGCCTGAATAAGCATATGGCTCCGTCCCCGTTCGTTATTCCAGGCTTGAAGAACGGCCTGATTATCAACGTGAACATCAACGCGAGTATCACGAAGAAAGTCACGATTTGATAAAAGCATTCGATCAATGGCCATAGCTTCGTTGGTGGCAATATCCCAATTGCATTCTTCTCCAACCCAGTAATCTGAGACCTTCTTGGAAATGGGCGACAAAATCACGCCACCCCAGCCCAGCCCGAACTCGACGCGTCAGTGGCCATAGATACAACAATATGTTTTTTATCTCGCCAGGGCAATGGCTCATCCCAATTGTCCAGAAATAACCAATGCGAGATCTCGTCCTTCAAATCATCTGTTAGGGGAAAAGGACGACTAGAACGTATGTGTCGAGATATTGCAACATTCATTTCTCTGGTAAATAACTTTGCTGCCGGGACAGCCAGAGAAAAAGCGACACACGTTGCAACTCACGAACAGTTACTTTCGGTTTACCTAGTAGTTCACGTACCAATTGTAGAAAGCGATCGCGCTTAGTGAGAATCAATCTAAACGCTTGATGAATCGAATCCACTCGAAAACCGAGATATGGGACGATCTTCAACGGAACGAGAATTGACTTACTCAATCCCAGAAAATAACCCAAAGCAACTAGGTAATACACGACAAGAACAGTTTGGTAAGAATCGTTACTCACATAACGCGGAAGGTCTCGCAAGGAATCGAGCTTAAACGGCTTATCTTTCATCCAAAGATTGAGGAAACGCCCGTCATAACAAAGACGTGGCTTGCGGGGCTCAACGGTGAGAGGCAGCACTAGTGGGGCCACCTGTGGTGCCCACCGACTGTAGGTTTCGGCACGCATTTTTTTTCGCGGATCTCCAATCGCAGATCGCAAATCTCCATTGTACACAAATTTCCATTATGACACGTCACGATTTTAAGGAAATTTGAGTATATTGAAGTGGAAACATGTGAGACAACGACATTGAATTATAGAACTATATTTAGTTGGAAAATTGAGGAAAATGAGTATATTTAAGTGGAAACATTTGCGACAAGGACTCAAGATTCTCTGCTCAAGGAGTGAAAGCACAAAATATCGTGAATGTTTTTGTATAGTTTTCAAGGATTCAAGCCTGATAGATGTTTCACAGGGTAAGTACTGAATGTATTTTATCTTCAGATACTCTCATCTCGCATGAATGTGCACATATTCGTGATAGACCTATGATTCATGAATACAAACATACCTTCGGGTACAAAAAATGCAAATATACCTTCGGGTACATACATGCATTATTCGTGGAAAGGCCTACACTAAAATATGTTGAGCGTTTTCGAACCAGGTAGAAAGCAGGCTTTATAGTGAATAGATTTTTGCGCGTTTGATCCAAATATGGGCTAGCTTGTTAGTTTGTAAGAGATAATTCACTTGCTCACTTGGGGGCGAAACGACTTTATAACAAACGTACTTGCAGGGAGGTGAGTCCGGGATTGGACGCACAGAGGGTGGCTGGAAGTTTCCCGAACTTACCGAGCGAAGCGAGGTGAGTTCGGAAAACTTCCAGCCACCCGAGGTGCGTCCAATCCCGGACTCACCGAAAAATTATATATTTGAAAATGAAGTACAATCATGTAAATTTACAAGCAAATTATCGAGGAGTATTAAGTGATAATGCAGAAAGCAGACTGGACATTGTATATGTCATAATAATGAAAGCACAGGTTTTTTAATTTGGCTTGGAGCTTCCTGTATTTTTTGCTTCATTAGTCGGTGGGGCCACTTGTGGTGCCCACCGACTCTAGGTTTGCCCTTTGGTACGCCACAAAATGACAAATTACATCATTTTAATTACGTATACTTACGAAATCAAAATGGCGACCATGGAATAGCGTGCAAAAGTTCGCTATTGACTATTTGGTCCAGTCGTGTCTTTTCTTTTTGGTGTTTTTGAAATAAATATATTAAGAATTCACTAAAAGTTGAATTTTTTCTTTTCGACGTTTTCACTGTTATGTTATCGAGCAGGGAAGTAGATAATTTGTACATAATTTCATATATTTGTATCGCGCGGCGGAGACATCGGGCGCGCAAATGTTGATGCTTTCTATATATTTACTATTGAAATTTCGAAATCTCCGGAGCGCAATTTCCAAACTTTGCAGTCAGTAATAATATTTTGGTCTTTTGGATCTACATAAATTAAACTTAAAGTCAGACATCGCCTGCTTCTTTTGAGTCCTATTCCTATTAAATAGCATTGAAGGATTAAGGTTCATTGGGACAAAATGTATTACCAAAAGCTGAAAACGAGGAACTCGATTTCCTGATATCGTGTGGAAGTAACATAGAATCTTTCTTGGCCCAATAACATACATTATTATTCCATGCAGATTGCCGCCTCTATACTGCACAGGCGCACTGGTATGTAGATTAGTAGATATGACTAAATCGTTATTGCTATACATAATACAGTCGCTTGGTAATCTCCTCTCACGAGGCATTATTGCATTACACAGACGTTATAATGTGTTTAGTTTCGAAGGGAAGAATATTCTTGCCTTCCAGCCTTCGACGCACCAGTTGGTAACATTACACCAGCCGATCTGTGTAATGACAACAGGATAAACGCTTATAATTTTAACACATACGATAGATACTGTATACTATATGACTATTAAAACAACATTGCTACATGGTTGTACTTGTTTTAACTATTAGTGCTAACTGCCAGGCAAACTGCAAACTTCAAGATTCAATGTTTTCGGAAAAACAAACACGCTGTTCTTAAGTGGTATCACTTGTGCTTATTTCCATCGCCCCAGCGACTTTACGCTCCGTGGAGCGTCTTGTCGTATTTAAAATTGACCTAGCTTCAATTTTTATAATATTAATATTTGAAGAACTGGCCGGGCTATCGTGTTTGCTCGCCATTTCCATACTGGTGCGCTGCGGTATTCTTTTTCACCACACGTACTGTAGTAAAGGAAATTCGTTTTGATACTGGTCTTAATCATTCTACAAGAGTGTATAAAAAAACTGAACAGATTTGAAATTGCTCTCAATTTCGCAAAACAGCTATTAGTATCCAGTTTTTGATATACAAAGCTTCTTTGGGTACTTATAATGTAGAATAATGAAAAAATTTCTCGAACTCAAATTTTGTAAACCAGGGGGGGTTGTCTTTTCCAACAAACTAAAAATGGCTTGCGCGCGAGATTTAAAAGCTTTAATCGTATTTTGAGTTAATGGGTGAACAATGTGTTGGGCGTTTAATTGCTGCACGAAATTTCAGACAATTTGCTTCAGTTTAAGTCCTTCAACTATATTAACGCAAACGTACATTTTTTCATGAAAAAAGCCTTTTGCAGCAATATGCAAATTAGGTAAAGGCATTAATTTAATTAAGCATGCAAAAGGCTGATTTTTTAGGGAAAAATGAATAGTTAATAGGCTTAAACTAAAGCAAATTGTCTGAAATTTTGTCCAGTAATTAAAAGCCCAATAAATTTTCCATGCCTTTAACATCTAGCATTGAGCCCTCAATACACGATCCGTACTGTCGCGTACATCGGTACATTGAGCCCTCAATACACGATATGTAGCTATATTTATAATTTAAGTCATAGAATAGATGGTTTGGAAACTCATTAATAGAATAACAATATAACTCATTATGGTATTCATAAATCTGGCCGTTCACCGTCACGTGTGTATTAATTAATTGTATTTTTGCTAAATCCACCAATAGCAATTTCCAATTCGGCCCTATTGTTCGAGTCACGGACAGGTAACTTACTAACTTTCTTAAAACATTCCTATTGGTTAGTTGGGCAAAAATACAATACGCACGTGACGATGAACGACCAAATTTATGAATAAACGTTGACTAACATAGATAATGAGTTATATTGTTATTCTAACTGATAAGTTTCCAAACCATCTATTATTTTAACTATGGCTATATATAGAGGCTATAGAGCCTCGTTTTCGTAATTCAAAACGAGGCTGTATATATAATAGCCAGGTTGCTTTCCGCCCACGGTAAAGTTTATATTTAGTATCCAATAATTTGTGGCAGGCCCATTTTTAATTTCCCTCTGCCAATATTATGGTCTACTACTTCTTTGTTTTCAGCCAAGAACCACGTGCTCGCTATTTGCGTCCAAAACCCAATGTATTCAAACGTAATTATTAAGCGGGTACATGGGTACGTCCGATGTCTTGGCATGAAACATATTATTGGACTGATGTACGATGGCCGAGAACGGGCTTCCAAGATTCGACGTTTCTCAGTGGAATTTTGGAAATTTCCCTTCTAAAGACAGTGGTGTACAACATGTTTTAGGGATCAATAATATAAATAAGTACCAAGCGTTCATTTTAGACTTGGAAAATATGATAATGGTCAGAATACGGTAAGTGCAAAATAGCAGTCTTATATGTACTTAATTAGACCGTAATACAATTGTTAATGGAGAATTTAAAAAACAGCATTTGATTAGCCCGAACTCTTCACTGAAGCTTAGATTAAAATATTAAGAACATGCCAACATGTCCAATAAACGATCCGATAATGTTATACTGAATTTCTCTTTTATCGCAGGTATCTCATCCTTTTAGCATTATTTATCTCAGAAACACGGAATCTCCGAAACACGGAAACTCGAAATCTCAGAAACACGGGAACTCCGAAATACGGAATCTCGGAAACGCGGATTCTCAGAATCTCAGGATAACGAAATTTACTATAATAGTTACTTATTATTTATTCAAACTTATTTAACAAACGGTAAAAAACCTTATATAGGAATATCATTTACATACAAGATATTGCACTACATAATAAGTTACAAAACTCAAAAGAACATTTTCTTATTGGAATTACAAAAGTAGCTATTCAGGAAAATGGCATTCAAATTGCCCCTTAGGTTCAAAATAGCACTTCCTAGCTTTTGCCGATCTTGGAAAATTATTCCGATAAAGTAGGATGGGCATGAATACTAGTGAATATTGTAAAAATAAAATTACACAAATTTCATCTCTTCATAACAGCTATGCAAGCTTATATTAAATGCTTTTATTGGTTTCTTAAAGTTTGAGTACAAGCTCGTAAACTATTAAAATGGTCAATTTTGATACTTGGAATCCTGGAAACCCGAAATCTCGGAAGTCCCTTCTCGGCCATCGCCGATGGGACCAACCCAAAGAATGAGTCGATTTTAGTGTTTGTGTATGCAGTAGTAGTCCTTTTCCTAACTCGTGGTTTCAGGTTACTGATACGCGGGCGAGTTACTGAATGAATGACGATTTGTTCGTCTAGAGGACTTGTCCGTCTTCTAATGTGAAAACGGCTAATAACTTTCAAAAACCTGTACTTTATTGTACACCTTGAGTCTTAAGTTTGTACGCGGCAATAATCATTGACATTGGAGTACCAGTCTGGTACTAGTAATTAAACATCTTGAATTATCGCACCCTGAAATTAGTCAACTGAACTGGCTAAGGAGTAAGGTGCACCGCTGTAAATTGAGCACTCTCTTTAAAAAAAAGCTGAAGCTAGTCTGCAAGCGCAGTTGTACAATGGTCTGGGGCCATTCTTCTATTTCATGCAAGACTTACCTAACTTTCCAGTTTCCATGTAATAATTTTGGTCAAAGCAAGCAATGTTGCAATTGGCAGTATGACAGCTCATATCTTTATTGCTAAGCTGCTTGCAGCCCAAAATTTTGATATGTGAAATTTTGAGAGCTGCATTTTGTGCAACAATTGCATTTGTACAACAGTGCCAGCTTGAATTACAAAAACAAATCACTGAACAACTCAATTTTTTTTTTGTTCAGTGATATAGCCATTACAATCCACATTGATTCCTACTTTCTACACAAAATATCAACAACACACATACAAGTCTTGATTGCTAAACAAATTTTCTATTTTATATGAAGATACTGTATATACAATGCTTGAAACAGATAAGAAGTTAAGAAACTGAGTAAGAAACTGTCTAGACTTGACATATTGCTTTAGCAACTTTGGATGTCAGTGGTCATATATTAAGAAATTTAGTGGGAAAAAATGAACAGTCACTATATAGTACACTTTATTAGGCCTTGACTTCCTCAGCTGGTTCAGCATCATTTTCAACTTTTTGTTTCTTAAGGTACTCCTCACCTTCCTTAATTACACAAAATTAAAAAAAATAAATTAGCCAACATACCAGATACCACACTATATTATTGAATGTAGCTAAGTGCAAATTGTCCAAATCAAGGTCAATGCTTATTGAGTAAAGTCTCCAGTGGATATCACTGTGCAAATGAAGTCAAGAAAATTCTTGATCTCATGCATGGCTTCAGTCAGCTAGAGTACAAAAGCAACAAAGTAAGGATGGGCATTGATTGCAGAACTGGAAAATGTCAGGCGAAATTTTAAACAAAATATCTTTTTGGTAAATTTCTTACATTTTGCAGGAAATTTTTGCCCTATATATGCCATTTACTTATTGTTTACAAAAGAAATTTTGCAAGTCGAGATTGTCTTGTGCCGAGATTGAAGTTTATAACACTGTGCACCACCACACATTCTCTGAAATGTACATATGCAGAAAGTTTTATTTTTGACATACACAGATAATTTAGATTTTTGCTGGGAGGAAGTGAAATATATTTTCTAGGCCTGGTGCATTGGGGTATATTGGGGCTTTCCAGCTAGGTTAAAGAGAGATATACACAGGCAGATATAGAAATATCCTAGAGAGAAAAAAAACATTGCCATTACAAATGGGATTCAAACATGCCTCTTTTGGTTTCTTGAACACTGCTCTACACATTGACTTTTTGAGGCAGTGGGAATTGGTTATTGGTAGCATGTTTTATCCAACTTAAGTGCCATAAGAACACTTTTTTGTTTTCTTCAGTGTCAGAATTAATTTGAAATCATTTTTCAGTCTGGTTCACCCAATACTTTCCCCTTTATGAATGAATTGCCTGATGTTAGACAAAGTAAAATAACAAAATAGGGTGTACAAGGATAGATTGTAGCAATCGTCCAGCCAGGGATGGATCCAGCATGATCTAGCTGGTAGGTGCTCTGCCAGCTCTGGTGCCGAGTTATGTCGGCCATGTGTGCCGCCCGCCCATCAACTTGCTTGACTCTGCAAATCTTGCTTGACTACTGTATTTGAATTGTTGTTCACGGTTCACTTATCATCATGTTATCACTCAAATTACTGCATCTCATTTTGTCTCTAATAATTTTTTTTGCTTTATCATGAAAAATACACCCCCTCTGGCCAGGGCTAGGGGGTGGCAACCCCCACAAATCCATCCCTGCATCCAGCATCACATGCTCATCCCTTGATTGCTTTGACTCCCCTCCCCTGGAAAAGCCAGCTAGCATTTGATTCAGTTTAATAATTGCATATATATTCTCTGCCACCCTATTAAACACACTCACAATGTACAACAATTAAATCCATGACTATGGGATGAAATATATGGAACATTTCATGTAAAAATCTACAGGCCTTGTAGAAATTTAAGCTAGGCAAATGTGCATCAAATAGAAAAATCAACAAACTTGAGATTTTTAGCACTAAAAGACCCTCTATCCCCAAAATGTTGCAAAGTGTCCGAACATTGACTGAACAGTGGCTTGTGTTTTGTCCGAACTTTGAAATAACTGCTAGGCTACCACTGACTCACAAACAGGTTAATTGACACATTGGGAAATGAATTATAATTAGATTTCCCCACATGGTTTTGACCTTGTATTTATCAAACAATAGAACACATGGCAGCAAACCAAGCTCCCTGCTAGTTCAATGCTGCAATAGGAATAAAAAACTTTTCCTTCAACTAAAAACACAGCTTATACAAGTAAAAATAACCATTCTATCACTTTACTGTTTAATTTAATATTCTCAAGTATTTGCCTAAATGGTTTAAAAAAACAATTATATTGAGAACATGTGTCATCCGATCACTGGCAAAAATGCACAAAGCCGCGTGTATTTAATTGTATTCACAAATTTTTAAAACAAGCAAGTAAACTGGACAATGAATTCAATCTAGTTTTAAACTTTTAATCACTTGTTTTTATAATACTGTGCGGAATATGCTGGTGAATTAAATGGAATGGAATTATAAACAACAAGAAAACTACCGGATTGTGTATACAATACAAGCAAATCCGTGGTTTCTATCAATGAGAAAAAGCAAGTTAAATGAAGTCGAATTTGTTTTAAACAAAGCCTATTAGAATGAAGCTCAATAGCGTTTAGAATTGACCGCAAAGTACAAAACTACGTACTTTCCCTTTCTTTGCACGAGAGCGTAGTTTAACGAATTTTGAGCAAAGGCGGGCGAAGTGATTATAGAATACCCGGCCATTTTTTTCCTGTTCGTTTACACACACAACAAAACACAGGAATTATTTGGAAAAAGTTGAACTGAAAGTTTAAAGCGTGAGAATATGCAATTTTGATCAAATTTGACACGCGCATTTCAAGAACAAGGCAGTTAATACAAAATGAAATACTTTCAGCAAATTAGTAAAGTTTATAAATACAAGGGATTAAAGATCACATATCAAACGTTAATAACAAGTCGAATATGTCTTCAGAAGAGGGTTTATAGTATTTTAAAAAACACAACGTTGCTAGTTGCTACAAACCGGGGGTGCACCCCCTAGCCTTGGCCAGAGGGGGTGCAGGGGGTGATATTTTTCATGATAAAGCAAAAAATGATTAAAGGCAAAATGAGATACAGTAATTTGAGTAATAACATGATGCAAGACTTTGCAGTAGTGAAGCAAGTTGATGGCCGGGCAGCACACATGACCGACACAACTCGGCACCAGAGTTGGCAGAGCACACCTCACCCCCCTACCAGATCAAGCTGGATCCATCCCTGATTACGTCACAATTACTGCACTATTTTCAACTTAGGACCACCTTAAAGGGAAGGATTTCAAGTTTTTTTTCTCATGGGCTATGCACAGATCGAGAAGCAGAAAGAACATCCTCCTTCAACACATAAATATGGAAATAAGCATTAATTAACACAGAAACAAGGCTCCATTATTGGTCAAAATAAAGAATTCTTTTTCATGCATGTGTTGAATAAGGAATGTTCTTAGGGCTGCAAATAAATATTTGACTTGACATGTCATTTGTTCGATCACTTTTAATTTTGGTCGGACATAACTTGAATTTGGTCAGACAAAAACCAACATCACTAAATTTGGTCGGACATATATACAGTATGTCACAAGATATATATAAGTCACAAGACAAGCAGTGGCGTGCTGGGTACTCTTTTTCAGGGGGGGCCAGTTGGCTGTCAACCAATCTGCGCCCCTATAATGTTACGCTTGATAAACGAGGGCCGAAGGCACGAGCCGAGCGCCGCAGGTGCGAGGTTTGTTTAGGGGGGTCCGGGGGCATGCCCCCAAGGAAAATTTTTGAATTTAGAGTCTCTGAAATGCCATTTCCTGGACTTTGGAGGAAGATTTGACAGAAATCTGATGGTCAGGAAACGGCATTATAACATGTCGAAATTTGCAATTTGGTTAGAATTTAGTAGTAGTAGTTAAATTGGGCAATGCAACTACTTCCAGCTATTAATCTAACCCCAATTCTATTCTCTACTGATCTAGTGATCTGAATACATTTACAACTTACATCTCTTTTATATAACAACACACGGACCCCACGCATTGTAAGGTTTCTTTGCCTGGCTGCCAAAAGGGCGCGTTTCAGCATTATTTCATTACTTACATTACTCATGATGTTTCTTGCGCAAACCACTAAATTGCGTACACAACTTTACATTATCATAACTTCAATTATCTAATTTGCGCCGCTCTCGTGGTTCGTGAAGCAAATAAAGGG